GTGATCGAGTGCCTAGTTTCTTGTGAAAGTGAATCCCGATATTAGGGGTACTTTTTTTGATAAAGTGTAGTTTCAGAGTGGGGAACATGTAGGTTATGCCTTTGACGGGTGTGTAGGTTGTGTACATTAGAATTTATAAGTAAAAGTGTCTTCGTTTTCCATGAGAATTTTCTTTCTCCCTCTTTTCTCTGTGAAGACCCACTATTTCAAATTATACATGCATGGTAGAGAAGAATCCTTAGTTGTTAACAAGGGTTTGCAAGAACTCCAGCTATAAGTGCTCGTCATTGCTCGCCAATATTATTTTTTTGGATAATAAATGTGCGAGTCTTTCAGGGGCATTTCCTCAGAATATTATTCCATATTTTAGATGTGAGTGCCAATTTGCATTTTTGCAAGTGCATATTTGCCAAAATACATTTTCAAGTTCTCAATGTTGAGCTTTGACCTCAGGGTGTACGGGGCATAGAAGATTTGCGAAGACTCTTCGTTAAGAATTTGAGATGTAATGTTTCGTTTTCTTAAATTGTTAGTCCGAGGAAGTGTTTTCACTGAGATATCGTTACAGATTATTGTTTGATTGAGCAATGTACTGTGAAGAGTTTCTTTAGATCGGGGATCCTGAATTTAGAGAGATGTCTTGCTGCGTTTTATGATGAGTTTGTCTGAAACCGTTTTTACTATGCTTACAACTGTGTTTGTGAGTTTCTTTGTTCTAATGATGTTGTGTTTTTGCTTTTGATGATTGTTTGTGTTATCTGCCAAACAAAATTATTTTTGTTTCTTAAAGCCAAAGGCGTGTATTTATGTATATAAGGAATTAGATTGGCCAAGGATGGATCCTTGCGGACTCCACCAATTTATTATTTGAGGCAGGAGTAGTATGAGGAGATTGTTTTCTTTTAGTGTGCTGGAGGCGCACTATGGCGAGTGATCTGCTGTCCGGAGTGACGTCGCGTCGAAGGCTGAGTTGCCCGACGTTGCGACATCCTGTCTGGGTCTTCCTCGTGTGCTGGTATGCGAAAGGTATGAGGAAGGATTTTGTTTCTTTAGTGGAGGGCAACTATTTGGCATACGTTTGATAAAATGATTTGATCCATTGGCCTGCAATGCCTCGAATTTTTCCCTTTAGGGGGCAATTTTTTCTAGTATTTTTGTTCTTTAAAGATTTTTTTAGTTAAATATGATGGTCAATGATGTCAAAGCTCTGACAAAGCTAAGAAAAGGGCCAAGGAATTTCCTTCTGATTAGGCAACAAGTTGTCATTTTAAAAAAGAGAAGATGGCGGTGTCTTTGATCTATTACTCCTTAGCCATGTTGTGCATTTAGTAAGACATTATTTGCAATTGTTAAATGTCAGAGGACTACATATTCGACGTTTAACAGATACAGTTCACTGTTTGCGATTCGATATACGTAAAACGTAAGGTGAAATTTCCGGTAACGGATGGGTGAAATTTCGTATGTGGTCTTTGTACGTATAGGTGAAATTTCCAGCATATGGATCATAGAAGAAGTTAGGAAATGGCAGAGGGTGTGCATTATGAATAGTTTGTAAGTATTAGCAAAAGGGATAAAAGTTTTAGTGATAGAAGAGTAATTTATGCATCAAGGGCGCTTATAAAGTTCAAGTTGATCGAACGGAGACAAAAAGCCCTCAGGCCTAGACGTTTTTCACCGCGCCCGACCATTAGAAACCGATCAACGATCCGTCTTACACAAGATATTATTTTTTTTACTTTCCCGTATACGGACGT